CGATTCTCGAGATCGGAATAGACCAGGCAAAGCTACGTTTATTGCCCATTCCTAAGGGGTTGGAGTCATATCTAAATCAGCTCATGGAAATGTGGAAGCTAAAGGATGGTCATGAATTAATCTAACAGTAATTCAGCTATTTTTCTCCTTTAATTGGTGGTACCACACAACTTAAATAGATCTGTAAAATTAAATGTCATCACTTTCTATTGTTCTATTCTATTTTTGAATTCATGGTCTCCAAAATGACCAATCCACAATAATTTCTGGGCCACAATTTCCACTTAGGATAGGGCAACCATGTTATGGTCTATTATCTTTGTTAGTATCCCAACAAGAAAGTGATCAGTAATTTTGTTCTTTAAAATAAAATCATATACCAGGATTTAAACAGCTCCAGGAGATGCAGGAGCCAGGTAAACTAATGGGGAGCTGGAACAAACAAAATTTGTGATAAGATTGTGTCATCGGAGCCTTTTACTGATAGCAGGAGAAGATATCGAGACCCTATTTGTCACAAGGAAGCAGTTGACAATGAAAGGCCGAGTTAGGAGTGGTTTTACATTGCCATTGGCATTTCATCGACGGGAGGGTAGAACATTTTGTTTTTTACTTCCCTGCCTAGCTGCTGAGGGCTTCTGCATATTTCAGCAGCAATGACTTCTCCTTGTAGCCCTGCTGAGTCATCAGAACAGCTAGCCCTATGGTTCATTTGGCAGCATCAGGAATCTACTCAGTGTCCCTCATTGCCTGGTGAGTCCACAGCATCTAGGGAGCTCCTTACAATTGTTGCATGGATTCTCATGCTGGCAACTGAAATCTTGGGATCCCCAAACCAAATGTCAGGACCCTGATTCTCCTCATAAAATTCAGCCCATTCTGTCAGTTAGTGTTAATAGACCCATTATCACTGTCCCCCGCCCCACACCCCCCAAGTCTTTACTTTCTTGCCTTTTATGTCTTTATGATTCCATTAAAGCCCTCAGAACATAAATAAATGCAAGATTAAATATTTCCCCAAAACACAGAAAAAAATGGCCACTTTGTATCCTATTATTTCATTTGGTATTGTATTCATTCAGTTGAGAACTTCTACGTTGCAAGTCCTTTGCACGCCTAAGTATGCATTTGTAGCACGTTAAGTTTGGTGCAAAATAATTTTAGCTGTGTGCGCACTGATGATAAGCTTGTGCAGTATAAATGCAGTGTTCAATCTTAAATTGACTCCAAAATTCAATGGAATAAACCCTGCTGTGGGAGTCTCACTCTATTTCACTCAAAAGTCCAGCCCAAGCCTGATTTTAGATTCAGGCTGTATTTTTTTTCTTTACCTTTTTATTGTGCATCAATTTTTTTGAAGGTAACAAGTTAACAAAGCAGTTAATAAAGCATGTGGGATCATGTGCTTTATTAATAGAGGCATTGAAGAAAAGCGCCAGAAGGTTATGCTAAACATGTGTAAAGCACTAGTTTGCTGGAGCAACATGTCCAATTCTGGAAATTACATCTTAAGGACGATGTCGAGAGAGTATGGAAAAGATTTGCCATAATGGTTCCAAGAGTGAAGGATTCCAATCAGGTGCAAAAGTTGGGATTTCTTGCCTTAAAGAAGGTTAAGAGAACATATGCATTGGAAGAAGAGTTTACCAGTTTGCCCTACCATATCTAAGCCATTTAAATCAGGAAGGGTACAGAAAGAGTCAGTAATGATAAATTGTTTCCAATGGCTAAAGAGCTGATAACCAGGGGCCACAAATGTAAGGCAAAAAAATCAGAGCTGACCTGAAGAAAAAAATTAACACTATGTGTGGTTAGAATTTGGAATACACTCTTGAATAGGGTATAAATGCAGATTCGGTTGTAGCCTTCAAAGGGAGACTGGATAGATACTTGAAGGAGAACAACTGCAGGAACAGAATGAGAGAGCAGAACTTACTAGATTGTTCTGTGAAAGAGTCAGAGCAGACATGATGGGCTGAATGTATTTCCTCTGTGTTGTTACATAATTCTATGATTCCATAAAAATCAATATGTTCACATCAATCAATTTCTTTGAAGAACATGTGGGATATTCATATTTTAATCCTTTGAGTATGGCATTAACTTTCATCAAAATATTCCTCCAATTTTCATGGATTAACAAGTACATTGTATTTGAGTCCACTTTGCCTTCATTTTCTTGGATCAGAAATATTTCTCTTGTTTGAGCCCAGGTTGTTCCTTGTTTCGTGTGATTTCAGCCATCTCATGATTTTAGATAGCTTCTTCCTTCTCTGTTACGCATCTTGCTTTCCCTGATTTGTGGACAACCTTTAGCCCATCTGTGCATTTCAAAGTAACTTCTTTCACCATAGGACTAAATTATTATGCAGTCTTGTATTTCCACTTGGCGAATTAATTTGAATACTGTTATTCCACCAGTATCGCAATGATCTGAGTTCACCATCCCTGCAGGGTAAACTCATTTGTGTGTTCTCTTACTAATGCTTCCTGCCTGCTTGTAAAACAGCTTGGAATGTGCAAAACTGAATAATCCCATTTTTAAAGTAGACTGAGACTTATAATTGTAAAAATCTGTTTAAAATATGTGGCTGGCACTCACTGGACTGAAAGCGAGTGGATGTATGGACAGTAGCAATTATATTTAAAGTTATGTTAAAGTTTTGTCTTCCTGTGTCTAAGTTTCAACTAAACTTATGTGTTAAAGGAAAGAATTTAGAATTCACTCTTGAATAGGGTATAAATGCAGATTCGGTTGTAGCCTTCAAACGGAGACTGGATAGATACTTGAAGGAGAACAACTGCAGGAACAGAATGAGAGAGCAGAACTTACTAGATTGTTCTCTGAAAGAGTCAGAGCAGACATGACATCTAAGGGACCATTTGTAACTGTACGCTGAAAAAATAAAACACCATTGTCTTTTCAAAATTAAAGTGAGAAACTTAGAATTTGGTTTCTCCTAGCTCCCAACCTTAAAGGACAGATTTCACCTGGCAAATATAACAGAATTAGAAATCACCAAATTGTTGGTGTATTTTTGAAATCACAACTCACCTTGTCCTGGAACTCAAAGCAACTAATTCGGTGGCCAGATCATTCATGCAGCTGCTTCCAGGATAAGTTAGCTATAGATTGCAACTGCCAATGTTCAGGGCAAGGATAAAGGTCCTTCTCTACAGTAATTTGTAATGGTATAACTGACTTACATCTCAGGTACCATACTAGTAACAAATGATTTGGCAATGTCTCTGTATAAAAGCAGACTGAGGCAGAATCAGTTGAAAGTATAAATATTTATACATATGTATTGTGTGCTGTACATACGTAGAGCTAAGGGTGCGTGTGCATGGTCTAAAGTGTCCTCTCAGTATATGCCTAAATCCAGAATATAGCTTCTGTCTTCAACATCCATATGCATTTGTGTCTGTGTATTAAGCCTTTGAGAGGAGTGAACAACATTTGACAATTCTAACCTGGAAACCTGGACCATATCAGAGCAAACGTTAACCTAGTAACTGAATTTCAAGCAGGTGAATGACAAATTAACCACCTGAGCGAGCAATCTATCAAAAAAAAGTGAGAAAGGAAAACGGGAGCATACCAGCATGGTAACCAGTCAGTCTTCGGTGAACAGAACTGAAAGCAAATTTTATAGACTGCTGCTGAAGTGATTGGCTATTGTCAGGAATAGAGCATTTCTTTGTTAAAAGACCCAAACATTCTGTCATTGTATGTAAGCTTGTGCTTTTGTAGACTGGTTAATTTTATCAAATAATCCATTTGATTGATGTAGATTCATAGCCCAACTTGAATGTGATCTTTTTATACTACAATAAGTGCAATAAGTGTTGACAATCTATGATTGTGCTTAAATAGTGTGAGGTCTCTGCAGGAGACCTGCGGAACTGCAAACTGACAATTTTTGCCCATTCCGGATCTGAGGTCCACCTACCCTTTTAATAAAGCATTGGTCTTTTTAATAAACTATCCATCAAATTAATGGCAGGAAGTTTTGAGAGCTGTATATTCACACTACACTTTTTACGTACATCTTTGATGTCTATAATTGCCTTGAGTAGTGCATACTTTATAATGTATATTTGTGGTCATTATGTTTTGACTGAGATCCAAGTAGATATACTCCAGTACTTTTTTCTTTTCAAACTGTCTTTTGCCTTATTTTAATGGGTTTTATGCATGTTTACTATATAGATTATTAAAGCTTGCTTTTCATCATTGTAGTTGTGGTCTTTACCTCAGTTTATTTTCATATGGATCTTGGACCTCTGCCTTGACAAAATATACAGCAGGGAAGATGCTTGGCTGTCTCATGTTGGTGTAATTCCTTCTTCTGGTTGCTAAATAGAACATTGGAAATTAAATTGTCCTTTTAATTACAGCCTGTTTTCACACAGGCCTGGGATGTAAATGGGGTGATTAGACACACTATATCAAATTGAAACAAAGTTTTCGCCAGAATTTTCCTTTAAAAAAGGAATTCCCCTTCCACACTTGCTTTTGGAGCCTAGATTTTTACATTTAAATAGAATTGGCTTTACATCTTTCCAACTTTTGCTCCAGATCTGACCCAATTGAAGCCACTACTGTATCATGCAACCTCAATGTGGTTTCTACATTAAGTTTTGTTTGATGGAGCTAAAGACCTGTCCAACGTTGCCTGTGTATTGATTTTACCTTTTTGGTGCTCTGGAGTTCCTCTCAACACTTTCTGCACATTTAGTTGCTTAATTTAGTAAAAGCACAACTTTTGACAGAAGATTTGTTTTCCCAGTGGGATTTCCTCTAATTCAATGTTTTGAAAATGCAGCTGAGTGTAGTATGGAAGTGTGTAGATTGGTGAACATTTAAAGTGAGATATCAAAGAAGATATTTGCTTCCATGATATAGTTCCCACTCCACAGGATTTTCTGAATCTCAGAAGACTTACCTTGATTCCTCTTTTCACTGGCAGCCATTGAGGATCGAGCAGGAGACCAATATGATGTTCAACCCCTTTGTCACATCTTCCCGGAGAAAGAACCGCAAGAGGTCCCTTAATGCTCCACCTCACATTTGCAGGAAGACTATGTCCTCTCCACTTTCCAATGGGCTGAGGCAGAAATATGATGTTCACTCAATGCCCATATGCAAGGATGATACGGCTCAGGTCATCAGAGGATACTACAAGTGTCAACAGCCTGGTAAAGTTGTCCAAGTATACAGAAAGAAGTATGCAATCTATGTTGAGCGTGTGCAGTGTGAAAAAGCCAATGGTACCACAGTGCATGTTGGTGTTCACCACAGTAAGGTGGTGATTACCAGACTAAAGCTAGACAACGATTGCAAGAAGATCCTGGGACACAAGGCAAAATCTCACCAAGTTGGCAAAGATAGGGGCATATATAAGGAAGAATCTGCTGAAAAAGTGTATGAGGAATTAAAAGTTCAACTTTTGCTATTTTCCATAAAGACTCAATCAAATCAGAAAAAAAGGATGGCATGGTGGCTCAGTTGTTAGCACTGCTGCCTCACAGCACCAGGGACCTGAGTTTGATTCTACCCTCAGGCAATTGTCTGTATGGAGTTTGCGTATTCTCCCTGTGTTGCATGGGTTTTCTCTGAGTGCTCCAGTTTACTCCCACAGTCCAAAGATATGCGGGCTAGTTGGATTGGCTGTGCTAATTTGTCCAGAGTGTCCAGGGATGTGCAGGCTAGGTGAATTAGCCATGGGAAATGCAGGGTTATGGGGATAGGATCAGTGTGGGCTAAATTATAGCCTGCTTCCACACTGTAGGGATTCTATTTCATTGTTTTAGATTTCTCTGGATGTCACAGTTGAGAAGAATTTATTCCCCCTCCTCTACTTTGAGGCAATTAAAGAAATCTGTTAGCCATACTGCAAATACAAGATTTCATATTTTAATGTATCTCTTAACTTAAGTCAGGTAAAATATCCTGGAATTTGTTTTATTTCATTCAGAGCGGAGGGCATCTCTGGCAAGGCCAGCATTTATTGCCCATCTTTAATTACCCAGAAGGCAGGTAGGAGTCAATGACATTGCTATGGGTCTGCAGTCATATGTAGGCCAGAGAGGGTGAGGGTGGCAGTTTCCCTCCCTAAAGGACATAAGTGAATCAATTGACAATGGAATCATGGTCATCAATCTTAATCACAGATTTTTATTGAATTCAAATGCCACTATCTGATTTGGTGGGATTTGAACCTGTGTCCCCAGAACGTTACCTGGGTCTCTGGATTAACAGTCCAGCGAGAATACCACTAGGCCATTGCCCTCCTCAACATATATGTTATAGGCTAGCAATCTGGGATGGTAGGCTAGCTAAAATCTCCCCAGAGAAAGGCTCGTGTGATTTACTTGTCATGGGGGAAGGCCTGGGGATAGCCTTGTAGAAAATCAATTGTTGGTCTTCACACCTTGACACAAAAGAGGGACAACTGTGGTTGGTGAACATAGCTGCTTGGGGCCAGAATTTCATGGGGATGGAAGGGGTCTTTGACTTTGTTAGAGCTCTGATTCACTATTGAGGAGGGGAGAATGTTGGTGAGACATATTTGCACATCCCCTATATAACGGCATTGTGGGTCCATCTAAAGCACATGGACTGCAGCAGTTCAAGGAGGCAGCTCACCTGCACCTTCTCCAGGGCAACTAAGGATGGCCAATGAGTGAATTTTTGAAAAAATATATGGTTCATGGAAGCGGCTGTGCATGTAAAATTGCAACAAAATGCCTTCAAATAGATTCAACTTCCATTGGTGCGATGTGCAGAACATGAGTTGTGACATTTAGACATTTGAACAAAAGGTCTGTATTTTCTGCAGTTATTTGGAGCAGTGGTAATTCAAGCCATCTGCTTGGAGCAGCCTTGCTATCCTCAGGTTTGATCCACTGAAACAGTTCGTAGTTTCGATATTCCTTCTCTTAACAGAACAGAAGGTATCCAGCGCAGAATCCCAGACACTCACCACGTCCTTCAGCTCTTTTTCAGGCAAACCTTCCTGGGCCCAATCAGAAGTTTGAGCCCTCAGTTTTCCTTCAAATGAAGTGGGGTTACCTTAGTACGGACACACAGTTTGGAACAAAGGGCATAAGAGGTACTACACAGGCAACTGTTGGAATGTGATTTAAAGCAAAAGTGAAATGAACCATTAAGTTGCAGGAAAATCCAAGAACTTTGTGAAAATGCTCTTTATTTGTATGTTGCGCAAAAAGGAGGGGATTTGGTGAGCTGACATTCACAAGACATTTAAAGCAATATCTCCAGTGGATAAGGTGACTAAAACGAAAGAGGTAAAGGATATATAAATTAAAATGTACTGGTGAATTTACATAAAAACAAAGTAAGACTGCTTTTAGAGTAGAGCTCCACACATTAGGAAGCGTATCAAGACAATTCGGAACACATTACACAAATTCACTCAGGTGTTGCTTGGATGTAGGCAAATGCTTTTTTGGACATGAGCTAATTAAGAAAATGTGAAACATCAAGGCTTTTTGATGGAATAGAAAATATTTAAAGGTGATTTGACAGAGATGTTTAAAAACCATTGAGATGGGACACAGCACATAAAAAATGAGCTGCTTCTAGTGATTTGAGGTGATTAAAGATTAAATGGAAACATTTAGAACATAGAACAGGAGATATTTTTTGCACAGAGATTTGTGAGGCTGTGGAAAGCATTCAGTTGAAGGATAGATCATGTTAATATTTGGAAGAGGTCAAATAGCTGCTTGTACAATGGGGAAATAGATGAAGATCAAAATAGGAAGTGCACATTTGTTTAAGGGTTACTGCTCGTGTACAGACCAACACTGGGTCAGAAGAATAACCTTTCTCTGTGTCGTAATTTATTTGTAATTCTAGAATGGACCCAATAATCTTTGATAAATCATTTACCGGTTTTATGTGTGACACTCCTTTTAACACATTTCTTTACGAGATTTTATATTCCTAACTTTACCTATTTCCTGGGTCACAGATGCCAACAGCTATTTTAGGCAATAGTGCCTTCTGTTTTGTGTGTGTATGTGTGTACAATAGTAGGAAAAGTCAAAAGTGAACCATACCAAACTGGGTTCACGTCCTTGCTGTACATAACTATCAGACAGCACCAATACTATCTGTGTTTTAGTATCCTTATCTAAGGAGAGCGTATTAGAAAGCAACTCATACATTGCACTTGAACCACAGCCCCACTTATCGAACTTCAGTTACCTATCTTGAGCCAGGGAAGGGGGCATAAGTCTGAATATTACCAAAAATAAAATCCTGTTAAAGCTTGAGAGATAGTAGGAACTGCAGATGCTGGAGAATCTGAGATAACAAGGTGCAGAGCTGGATGAACACAGCAGGTCAAGCAGCATCAGAGGAGCAGGA